AGTGAAACAGTAGGTACTGAATTTGAATTATTAAACTGTAGTCCCTCAAAGACTTCCACAATTAAATGATCGTGGATCGCATCCTTTATAAGATTCTCCAAATGTAAACTAAAATTTCTTTCATTTTCAGATATGACAGAATCGTAATCATATTTCTCTTGATCGAAAGCTATTGTTAATAATTTTATAATATTTCGAGGATTCATAGACATATTTGAAAGGAAAGATGGACAGTTTGTCACAAAAATGTGATAAATTTTTAAAATGAATATTTAATTCATAGAATTGTCAAATTTTAAAAAACGCATAGATTAAACTAAAACTCGTAATAAAATACGAACCTGAAAAAACCTAAGAAACTAACTTATGAATAATAATGAAAAATACAAACCTGCTATATTATTTTTTATAGAGATAATTCGAAAATCAATTTCGTAAAGCAAAGAAGAGAAATACAGGTAGCTGTACTTATAGGCTTGTAAAGCCACGTCTCTTATGAGAAAGGCATCCATCTACCAACAAGTTCAGTACTACAATTTTGGCGGGAATATTTGAATCTTTAAGTGAACATTTTCCATAATATTATATTAAAATAAAGTTTAAACTGTATTCTCTCAAAACATAAAGTTGTTTTTATTCGAAATATTAATTAATTTATTAAAATTAATAACAAATAAAGTATTCTACAAACAAATGAAGTTCAACTAATTTTAATTGCTTCATTTTACATATAGCTTATCAGAATACTCACCCAACAAGTCCAATATAAATTATTTTGAATAAGTGGATTTTTAATATATAATAATTGATGAGTTTATTAATTATTTATTAAAAAACACTTGTTTAACTCTTTGAGTCACCGCGTGACACACACTTCACACCTAATTCAAAAAAGCATAACTTTCTTTAAACTGATCAAATCTAATCCTAACAGAGCTCATTTTGAAAGAGTCGGACAGAGTAACAAATTTATAAGTCTGACGCTTTAAAAAGTACTACCCTTTTTAAAATATACCCCTTCAAACAAGGGCAAAAATAAAAAAAAAAATTTTTAATTGTATAAATTTGAGAAAATTTTTTTCCCACCTTTTATTATTCCATATTCTTAAAATGTTGTAAAAAATGTAAGGCTAAAAAACTTTCCAAAATCCACCCCCTTTTACACAAAAATCTAAAAAATAGACTAAAATCGATTGGGCTTAAATGGAATTTTTTTTTCTTTTTGTTCGCCATGTTGGTTCCGCCATTTTGAAGTTTAAAAAATTTTGAAAAATCGACATTAGATTTGAAATCAGTGACCCCGAAAACGTAGTATACAGTACTGTTAAAGAAACTTTTACAGAAAAAAACTTTTGAAAGCATAAATATTTTAATTTTTTCATTAGAGTAAATATCGGTAACTTACTTTTCATATTAAAATCTCAAAATAGGCACAAGGATTTTCAATTATATTTAATACAAAAGTAATAATATGAAATAAATATTTTTTGTAATTCTTATATCAAATAAGTAACCAGCGACCCCGAAAACCCCTAGATACCAAGTTTTGGGAAGAAGTAAGACTTTTTGAAAATTTTGGTCCGCCATTTTGTATCCGCCATTTTGAATTTTTGAAATCTGATATCAGATTCGTAACCAGCGACCCCGAAAACCCCTAGATACCAAGTTTTGGGAAGAAGTAAGACTTTTTGAAAATTTTGGTCCGCCATTTTGTATCCGCCATTTTGAATTTTTGAAATCTGATATCAGATTCGTAACCAGCGACCCCGAAAACCTCTAGATACCAAGTTTTATGAAAAAGTAATAATTTTTGAAAATTTTGGTCCGCCATTTTGTATCCGCCATTTTGAATTTTTGAAATCTGATATCAGATTCGTAACCAGCGACCCCGAAAACCCCTAAATACAAGTCTTTAAAAAGTTTTATAATTTAATTGCGTATTTTATATATTTATATCTGTTTGGGGGTTTTTGAGCTATTGAGGGGGTAGTTTCAACCCTTAAACCTTCTTCTTTGCCGATAAAAAAAAATACGTATCTATTATTTTGTCGAGTTCTTGAAGTGTGCCAAATTTCATCCAAATCGGAGAGTAACACTAGGGTAGGTTTACTTGTCAGTGGAAGAGCAATCAACCGACAATTGATAGGTCCTGGGTTTCGAGCCCCAGCAGAGTTAGTCCCCCATTTTTTCATAGTTATAATTTTCTAAATACATACATATACTTATGTATACATTCAAAACAATATATTAGGTTAGACGAACAAAGTACAACTGTACAATTGTTCAAGTTAATTATACAAAAAATTAAAATTTCTATTATTCGAACCCGGCCTTGCCTAGGTTAGTTCTGATAATCGATGTTCCGCTGTAATATTTATACATCTTTAGTTTCGCTGGACACCCTGAATAAGTAATAATAAAAGATAATAAAAAATTATTACTATTTCAGAAGGAATTGTCTCTATACAAAAACAATCCTTTTCCGATTTTCAAAGATTGCAATGAATATCGAGTCTCGCAAAGTTTTAAATCAGATCCAGGACGCCACGATCAAGCGAGCATGGAACCAATTTGAAGAATTTTCTTTAACAAAATTAGAATATTTAACAATTTGTGAGAATTTATGCACGGAGTCGTACCCAGAGGTTTTAGCTGCCTACCTTAATGAGGTCTCTGACTAAAACCAAAGACAAGTGGAATTAATCTCTTCTGGTATGTATTATTTTTAAACATTTCTAAAATTTATTTAAGGCCAGGTCCAAGTCGAGTCAGCTGTTCCTTTGAAGTTTCAATGGAACAGCTGACACGACTTGGACCTGGCCTTAAGGGTTTAGACCACTGTAAAAACAGAAAATTAATTTCATTTTTAAAATTTTTTTTACAAATACAGATTGAAAAGTATTAAAAATTCAATTGAATATTATTATTAAGTATATATTGAACTGCAAAAAAATTATTTTTATATCTTAAAGAAATTAAAATGGTGGTGCTAACAGTCAATCCTAAAAAAACCAATTTTGTGCAGCCGGTAACTTTTCTCGTACAATTTTTGATAAAATTAACTAAAAAATGGTTTATAGCCCCAAGATAACATTCTCTTGTGAATAACGAAAGGAATTTTGACTACGTTCCATTTTTACAAAAATCGGCTTTTATCAAAAATTGTACGAGAAAAATTACCAGTCGCATAAGAAGAGTTTCTTTGATCGATTGTTAGCATCACAATTTTAATTTTTTTAACGGATGAAAATAATTCTTTTGTAATTTAATATATACTTAACAATAATATTCAATTGCATTTTCAATACCTTTCAATCTGTTTTAGTAAAAAAATTTTTAAATAAGTTTATACCCATTAACGCTCAGACGGACAAAAAAATGCCAACGATTTTGTGGACCCCGTTGTTTTATATAAGTCTTCCAAAAAAATCGGCATATACCATTTCTAATGTAAAATTTATTTATCTTTCCAATTACGAAATTAGAACTTGTTTATAATAAACACATTCAAAGTTATAAACAATTATTTTAAAAAACACGATTTTTCAAGAAAAAAATTTATTTTCAACCATACTTTCACCAGGAAAAAGGAGAGGGATGCTCCCAAAACCTCAAAATATCGCGTCCATGGATCCTTGGCTACAAAACCCTGAGGTGACCAATTTTTTATTTCAAGATGGCGGACCCCAATATGGCGTCTAAATATCGAAAAATGGTCCAAAAAAAAGATGGTGCTCAAGCTTTTTAAAGTCACTGGAACCGCTTGAAACTTGTTACTCGGGGGTTTTTGGGGTCGCTGATTACGAATCTAAAATCAGTTCCAAAAAATTCAAAATGGCGGATCCAACATGGCCGACGACTTTTGTAAAAATTCAACTGATTCATTTGCAATTCGTTACTCGGAAGTTTTCGAGGTCGCTAATTACGAATCTGATGTCACTTTTCAAAAATTCAAAATAGCGGATCCAATATGGCCGACTTTTTAAAAAAAATTTATCAGATTTACTTGAAATTCGTTACTCGGGGGTTTTCGGGGTCGCCGATTACGAATCTGATGTCACTTTTCAAAAATTCAAAATGGCGGATCCAATATGGCCGACTGTTTTTAAAAATTTGATTAAATTCACTTGAAATTCGATACTCGGGGGTTTTCGGGGTCGCCGATTACGAATCTGATGTCACTTTTTAAAAATTCAAAATGGCGGATTCAATATGCCGGAGGAAAATTCTTTGAATCCTTATTCAATTATTATAATTATGAAATCTGCAGAACTATTTTGTGTCCGTTTGCCGTCGATTATTTCGCCGTTGCCCGACTCTTACCGCGGGGAGGTGAACACAAAAGAGTGTTTTTCTTTTTTTTTTAATATTTTTTTAAATTTTTTTGTTTTTTTTGTATTTTTTTGCTTTTTTTTACTTTTTAAGCGTGGAAAATTTGAAAGCACGAAACACAGAAGTAGTCGCCGCACTTTACGCACTTTCTTTGCGTTCTAAAACTGCACTTCGAGAAATTAGAGCATTTTTTTTCTGTTCAACTCTTTGAACTTTGTGACTCTTTATACTGTCTGATTTTTGAAAATATGTTTCTGTAATCTGTATAGCGATCTCTTTGGTGCCAATTTTTTTTCTTCATCTACCAAATTTTTTAAAACCATTGCATTCGTGATTGATGCTTGAACAAGTCTCATGAATATCACCCAAGTCCACTTTTTCGCTCTTATGCATAGCATCAAATTGCTGCAATGTGCGTCGTGCAAGTCTACTCCGCCCATAAACTTGTAGGTTTTAAAAGAATTAGGGAATGCTATATTTTTTTTGGTTTTTGCCTCAGAAGAATATCTCTTGACTGAATTCATTGGTGTAACACCTGTCAATGTTGAGAGAATAGACACTACTTTGGAATCCTTTATCGTGAGATAATTGACACCACTATGTATGTCATGCTTGGCAATAAATGTACCTCTTGGATCTTTATCGCTGATCGCATTTTTTACTTGTATTTAATTGGCTCTAACTGTCCCTGTTGCCCGCAAACCAACTTTCTTCAGGTGAACCAGTAAATCTGGACTCGTAAAAAAGTTGTCAAAATATAAGTGATATTTCACAAGATTTCTGGGTACAACTGAAGAAAGAAGATTTTGAAGAAGACCAACGACAACGCAGCTACCTAAGGCACATTTATTGAGCGTTTCTCGGTTGCCAAAGAAATAGCTTTTCGAATTTTTGCCACAATAAATGTCACAATCGAACAAGAATCCTTCGGAACTACAAAGAGCCCACATTTTGATGCCGAAACGCACAGGCTTATTTCGTATGAACTGCTTTAAAACAGTTCTTCCACGAAACTTCACCATCATTTCGTCAACTGACAAGGCAGATGAAAAATAACCGAACTGTCTCGCATTTTGCTTAAAAATCTCTAAAGGACCTCTCACTCGCCAAGCTTTATCATTAGGATTTTCATCTCCAGGCTTGTACAGCTTCAGCTTGGATTTAATATTTTCAAACTTTTTACGACTCATAGCTCCAACTACAGCTTCACAATTCAGAAGATGATTCTGAGACCAATAATCCCTTTGAGATTTCCTTAGGTTAAAAATGGATAAAATAATTATTCCCAGAAAAGCATCTAATTCAGCCATCGTAATGGGACAATCATTAATTCGTGTTGCTTCTAATACAAATTCTTTTAGCTCAATAGAAAAAAATATTCAAATAGATCAGTTGACGATTATTTTCTTTGCAACGATATCGGATAAAAAAGTTTTATTTTTATATTGAGCATCATACTTCTTTTCACCATCTACCCATTCATAAATATGTTCCGGCTCCAACTTTAACTGATTTGCGGTATAATTATCTCGAATTGTTTAGCATGAATTTTGCGGTAAATCATCTAACTCATTACAAACAGGATTTTCTACCTCTTCATAGATAGCATCATCTTCTGAATCAGACCAACAATCAGATTCGTCAGAATCATTCAAGTTTGGTAGCATGACCACATCTAGGTGTTCATCATCCTCCTCAACTTCAAAACTTTCGGAACTATAAGAAACTTTTTGCCGTTTCCATTTGCGCTCAGTCGGCATTTTTAACTTATAACAAGATTTATCTTATAAGCAAACCACTTACCTGCGTCACTGTTGTGATACTAATCAATAGATTAGTTAACAATGCATTCTAAAAAGAGCCTTTACTTTCGAAAGTATTTTAATGAACGATCGACGGGCTCAAAATGTGATTAAGAAAAAGATTTTCTTTTACCAAACAATGAACAATATTAAGTACCGCGCAAAACGATAATTAAGACAGACATTGGAAAACCAAATAAAAATTGACAATTGGTGTGTCCCCAGAACTAAACAGGCGCAGTACACCCACGCAATATTGACACTAGGATGACAGAGCTAAATAAAATATTCAGATAAATTTGATTTATAAAGTAAGTCATATTGGTTCCGCCATTTTGAATTTTTAAAAACTGACATCAGATTCGTAATCGCCGACCCCGAAAACCCCCGAATAACGAATTTCAAGTGAATTTAATCAAATTTTTAAAAATAGTCGGTCATATTGGAACCCCCATTTTGAAATTTTAAAAACTGACATCAGATTCGTAATCGGCGACCCCGAAAACCCCCGAGTAACGAATTTCAAGTGAATTTAATCAAATTTTTAAAAAATAGTCGGCCATATTGGATCCGCCATTTTGAATTTTTTAAAAGTGACATCAGATTCGTAATCGGCGACCCTGAAAACCCCCGAGTAACGAATTGCAAATGAATCCGTTGAATTTTTACTAAAGTCGTCGGCCATGTTGGATCTGCCATTTTGAATTTCTTGAAACTGATTTTAAATCCGTAATCAGCGACCCCAAAACCCCCCAAGTAACGTGTTTCAAGCGGTTCCAGTGACTTTAAAAAACTTGAGCACCATGTTTTTTTTTTGGACTATTTTTCGATATTTAGACGCCATATTGGGATCCGCCATCTTGAAATAAAAAATTGGTCACCTCAGGGTTTTGTAGCCAAGGATCCATGGACGCGATATTTTGAGGTTTTGGGAGCATCCCTCTCCTTTTTCCTGGTGAAAGTATGGTTGAAAATAAATTTTTTTCTTGAAAAATCGTGTTTTTTTTAATAATTGTTTATAACTTTGAATGTGTTTATTATAAACAAGTTCTAATTTCGTAATTGGAAAGATAATTAAACTTTACATTAGAAATGGTATATGCCGATTTTTTTGGAAGACTTATTTAAAACAACGGGATCCTCAAAATCGTTGGCATTTTTTTGTCTGTCTGAGCGTTAATGGGTTAATTTTCGTTTTTAACATTGGTGTAACCACTTAACAGTAGAAATGTTGTGTTTTTTTCTAATTTTCGAAATTTTGTCTGACATAATAAGAACTAATATGTTTGTTCATTTTAAGTATGTACTTTAGAAATTGTTAACGTTTCTACAGATTATTCGTCCTCCTATCCTTTTTCTCATCTTCAGTCCGCCAAAGATGATGGAATTGAATGAAATACTGACGAAGACACCCAAGATGATGACCGTCAAAAGAACCGTGTTGAGAATAGAGATTGCAATCCCGCAAAGCGGGATCCAGCGTTCCCACGGGATCCCATACCTTTTGATGGGTCATGGGATCCCGCACAAAATAATGTGGGATCCGCAAAAAAAACGATTTTTGAAAATTATACGTATGTTACGTATTTGCACGTATGTTACCTCGAGTGACGCGTCACTGCACAACCCTGTCTATCTCTGATTCTACTGCGCCATCGATTTGCGCATATATCTCGAATCTCAATTGATCGATCCAATAACTACTTACTCAGTGTCAACTGTCAACGTGTAAACAAATAGATTTCAGTTTCAATTTACCCATATATTATTTATTTATTATATATAATTGATTTACTTTTTCTGAAGAAAAAGGAAGTTATATACCTTCCAACAAATGTTACGTATTCTCGATTCAGATTTAATATTCTTCAAATGATTATTTGTTTGTTTTCATAAATTTAATGTTAGTTTTTTAATGCCTCTCTTTAAATATAAAATCAAATTTCGTTTTACTAATATTCATTAACGATTTTATTGTATTAAGTTTTTTTTAATATTTAACATTGACGTATTTTACAGGAAGAAATAGAGTAAATAATTATGTCGATAAAGATAGGCATTGAAAAAAATGGTGAGGTTAAAAAAACTCTTTGGAACTATTTTACAAAAGCAGATAGTGGTGAAAATGCAAAATGTACGTTATGTAGCAACGTTTTAAAAATCAGTAAACGATCGACGAAAGGTTTAAAAAAGCATTTAAAAACTAAACATTGTATTGATTTGAATTCAAAAACTTTCCAATCGTCGGAGCCACAACAACTTGAGATGTCGACATCGAAAAATGACAATAACTGCGATAGGGATTTAAATGTAATACCAAAAAGAGAGCCAAAACAATTGATGAATATTTAGAAAAAGAATATTCTATGGAAAAAATGGTATCTCGAATGATAGCTAAAGATGGTTTAACTTTCAATTGTTTCTGTACGTCTCAAGATTTAAGAAACTTATTTGCGAAGAGTTCTTTTTAGCTTCCAAAATCTGCTAATACGATAAGAGAAATGGTGACGAAATTTTCGAATTCTGTAAAAAGTGACATGATAAAAAAGTTTCAAAATCTAAAAGAACGAGATCAAAGATTTTCTTTAACTTTTGATGAATGGACGTCACATAAAAATCGAAGATATTTAAACTTAAACGTTCATCATATTGAAACTCATTTTAATCTTGGCTTGATTCGAATTCATGGTTCATGTACGGCAGAAGAATGCATCAGATTGGTTACAGAACGATTGCTTCAGTTTGAACTTGAACTTGAATTTGATATCATTGGAATAACTACTGATGGAGCCAGTGTCATGAAAAAAGTGGTTAGACTCCTGTCTTGTTATCAAGAACTATGTTTTGCTCATTGTATCCAACTTGCGGTTGTCGATATATTACACAAAAAAAATACTATCAAAGATCCCGAAGTATGTGGTTTTGAAAGCGAAGAAGCAACCATTCTCATTGATTCAGATCAAGAAGAAGAGTTTGAAGATTATGACAACGAGGAAAGTGAGAAAACATACGAAATGCAAAGCTTAACTGTTATGTTGGATCAACCACGCGTGGATTTAATTTCCGACTATAACGATCTCATTAAGAAAGTGCGGAAAGTTGTGAAGATTTTTAGAAAGTCACCAACGAAAAACGATATGTATTTGCAGAAATATGTACGCGAAGAGCACGGAAAAGACTTAAATTTGGTTTTGGACTGCAAGACGCGCTGGAATAGTTTACTTAATATGCTGGAACGTTTCTACGATCTTAAAGTATGCATCAAAAAGGCGTTGATAGATATAGCATCTGAAATACAATTTACTGATGATGAATGGTTCAAAATTAATGATTTAAATTTGAGCTTACAGCCTCTTAAGTTGGGAGTTGAAGTATTATGTAGGAGAGATTCGACACTTTTAACCGCAGATACAACTTTTTGTTTTATATTAGAAAAGTTGGATAAACAACAAAGTGCTTTAAGCCGTGACTTATCTACTGCCGTCCGCCAAAGATTACAAGAACGCCGTACTGATTTGTCAGGAATGATGATGTATTTGCAAAATTCGAAAAAATATGAGGAAGAGTTACAGAAGATTGATCCTATATTTTCGTTGCCGAAAAAAACTGTTTTACGCCGAGAGATGAAAAAACTTTTACAAAGAGTTATTAAAAACAATAATAAAAACGATAGTACTGAAGATTCTGAATGTTCTGAAAATGAAAATAATCAGGATATTATGCGTAAAAATTTATCGATACAAGAAGAACTGGAATTGTTACTACAAGATGACAAAAATGCTCATCATCAAGGAAAGATTAAGCATGCTGTAGAGTTTGAAAAAATATTAAAAAAAGAAATGTCTAGTTATGAAAGTGATGGTTTAAAAGGCAAATACCTGTCTATCATTTATAATCATTTAAAAACTATACCACCAACAAGTGTAGAAGCGGAAAGAGCATTTTCTGCTGCAGGATACATTTGTAGCTCATTGAGAAGTAGACTTGGTGATGAAACAATTAATACAATCTGTTTTTTGAGGTCATATTTTCAACAAAACGTATAAGACAGTTATTATTATCTTTTAATCTTATTATTATCTTTTATTTGTCAAAGGATTTGACTGTTAATATTATATTTAACTTTGTTTTAAATTTATGAAGAGACAATGTCTTTAATAATTAAGTTACTACACAAATAATACAAAGCCAAAAGGTAGACATGTAACTACTCGTGTAACTAGGTTCTTTATTTTATTTAACTTTATTTATCTTAATAAATATTATTTTCCATATAAACCCTCATGTTTCATTCATCATTTTTAGGGATTGCAATCCCGCATGGTTTTCAATTCAGCGGGATTTTTGCGGGACTGAAAAACAATCCCCCTGGATCCCGCGGGATATTTATTAAGATAAATAAAGTTAAATAAAATAAAGAACCTAGTTACACGAGTAGTTACATGTCTACCTTTTGGCTTTGTATTATTTGTGTAGTAACTTAATTATTAAAGACATTGTCTCTTCAT